TCGGCTCGTGAATGATGTTTTGAAGCTATGGGTGTCAGGGTCGACTCTTATTCTTCTCACCTGGGCTTAGCTCAGCACCAGCTGGGACAGGCACTGCCAAACTTTGCTCTGCAGCCATGGGCTTGTTTCAATGTACTTACACAACTCCAGGCGCTTAAGCTTTAAAGCTGAAATCAAAGGGCACAAGCCCCACCACAGCCCTGTGTGCTGGCAGCTCTCCTTAGGCAGGCCCAAGCTCTGGCCCTGATTCTGGGCTGCCTTCGCTGCACCAACCTGGGTGCGCTCCTGCTGCCCCATCTGCTCGGGGCGCCTGCTTCCTGGCTCACAGGTCCCAGGCTGACTGCTGCCTCCCCCGCAGGTGTTCACGTGGACGGGCAGGAACAGCTTCTTCATGAAAGGAGACATGGACCTGCTGATGATCGGTGGCGGCAGGTAGGAGCACAGGCCCAGGGCCATGCTGGAGGCTTCGCCCGGCTACAGGCTCCCCCAGCCCTGAACTGCTCCATCCGGCTCGTGAGGAGCAGCCAGGGCCATGGTTCAGGCACAGTCAGTGCCTGCCCGCTGCCTGCACAGCTGCCCCTCTTTCGTAGCACAGGGCTCAGCACCAACTGCAGACCTCAGAACTGGGGAACATCTGGGTTTGGGCACACACCAGTGCCACAATCTGGCCAGGGCAATGGGGGCTAATCCAAGCTGCCTTGCTGAGCAGGGCCAGGGCTCCCACCGGTCTTTCAAAGCTGAGAACAGCCCAAGAACTCATCTAGTTGAGCAGCACCGACTGTTTCATCTCTCTGCCCCCACTGCTGGCAGGACTGCCCTCTCCCTGCCCACTGACGGAGCGGCCATGCTGGAGGGGTGCCTACGGCAGGGATGGCTGCTTTTCCCCTCTCATCACCCCTGCACTAAGGCGCTTACCTCCGCCCCGGCCCTCGTACCTGCAATCCTTGGCTGCTGCATGCTCAGGCTGCAGAGCAGGAGGGTATCCCAGGGCAGGGACGTAGAGTGGGGAGGTAGTTCTGGAGGTGCCAAACCAGCCCCAGGCTTAGCTCTGCCAGGGCTCCTTGCAGCCAAGCTCCAGGGCGGTGGGGCTGGAGCACCTGTTAGCTCCCTGTCCGGCAGCCCTGATGCATGTGGAGCTGTGGGAGGTGAGAGAGGAGCCCTCAGCTTACTGTGCTGTTTGCATCTTTCCAGCGGGAAATTTGGGCTGTGGCTGGACGGAGATCTGTATCACGGGGGGAGCCATCCCTGCGAGACCTTCAACAACGAGCCCCTCTCTCCGCAGGAGGAATTCTGCATTCAGGCCTTGGAAGTTTGGGGCCTGGCCTGACCCTGGCTGCCCATGTCTGGGACAAAGATATAAGGGGATACTTTTGAGCCCACATGGCTCCCACCCCAGCACCCTCGGAGCCTGCCAGGGCAGTGCTCAGGGGAAGGTCAGCACCAGCTGAACTGCCTTACCTCTACCTCCCTCCACCCTGTCCCAACAAGCCGGTGTTTGTTCCCCTCTCTTGCTGACAGCCGCACAGTGGCTGGGGGCAGCACAACGGGGACAGGCTCCAGTGGGACCTTGGCCCCTGCAGTGCTGCTGCTTGCATGCCAGGGCTCCCTTGGGTGCCTGCAGGACCAGCCTCCACCACAACCACCACAGCACCAGCTGTGGTGCCCAACGACGTCAGACCACTCTGCCTGGCAGGGAAGACGCAGAGCCTCTTCTGTGTCCAGGGGGAGGGCACGTGTTGCAGGACCAGGCAGGCCCAACCACTGTGGTACCTCTGGGCTTCCTGGATGGCAGCATTTGAAGTTAACAGCAGGGAAATTCAACAGCAGCGTGCCCTTGGCAGGACAGTGACAAGAACCACATGCTGAGAGAGCCTCCAGCAAACCAGCTGCTGCCCAGGGGAAGGTGCCTGCATGGCTGAAAGGTGCTAAGGCCCATCAATAAGGCCCATCAATAAACAGCAAGAGCTAGGCAGACTGCTCTCCCAGGCTCGTCTCTGCCGTGTGAACAATAGCCCTGAGAAGCTGCGAAAAGAAAGCAGCCCCAAGCAGGCAGGGAGTCAAGGCATCCCATTTACCAACTAGAGGGGCCTGAATCCAAACCCAGCACCAATCCCAGTGCCAAAGAGCGCAAAAGAACGAGGGCTAGTATCTCAGCACTGCTTCTTGTGTCACAGCCCCCTTTGCATCAGGAGCAAAGGAAGAGCACCTAACTCTAGCTCCCTGTGTGGGGTCCCACCTATGGGTCCATGCTCTTGCAGAGCAGGTGCAAACCCTTCCCAGTCTCAGAACCCTCCTTCTGTTGAGTCCTGCTGGCCCCTCTGCCGAGCAGGAGCTGTCCCGATTCAGCTCCAATGCCAGGTGATAAAGCCGGCCATCTCCCCGACATCAGACATCACTATCTCCTGTGGGGATGCTCAGCACCCCCAGACGACTCCAGCCCTCCAGCCTGGCACTCTGCCCTGCTGTCCCTGCAGACATTGGACTCTGTTTCATTTCTGCTGTTGCAGTCCCATGGCATCACTGCTGCCTGGTGCAGGACTTGCTCGTTTTGTGCCTGCAGTTCACAGGCCTCCACAATCACAGCAAGGATGCCAAGGTGGTACATGCTTTGGCTCCCCAGCCATGGCCCCAGGAGCTGTCCCAGTCACTCCCCCTGCTACAGATGGGATCAAAGAAGCGGGAGGAGACCACTGTGCAACGCTGTTCCCTCTCCACTACCCTGAACCAGCACCGGGCAGGCTGTGCTGGTCACCAAGAGACTGCCTGGCCAAGCTGTGACCACGCTGGCCATGCCACATCCTACCCCTCTGCAGGCTGGCAGTACGGCAAGGCGGCTGCAGGAAGCTCTGTGGGGCCAGCCTCGAGGGAGCCCCGGCACAACGTGCGCTGCTCCTGGTAGGCTGGAAAAAAGGAGTGAAAACTCTATATTAAATTGAAAACCAGTGAGCAAAACAGCTATTGGCTAAACCAAGTGAAAGAAAATATAAATTCCAAACAGCTTGCCACACTGAAAACGACCAAGTTCAGGGCCTGGCTCCGGCATGAGGAGACCAAAGCTTGCTGCTCGAGCCAAAGAATGAATTAGCGTTCACTCTCCTTCCTCTCCCTGTACGTAGGATTCACAGGCTCTTTGTATCCCTCAAGTCACCTTCAGAGGTGGGAAATATCAAGGCTTTGCTAGACATCCCAAATTGACCCAGTGCTAGAGACAGCCCTGTTCTATGTAGGGGGCTGGACTAGAGCTCTCCACAGGTTCCTTCCCACCAGTGTCTCTATAGCTCCATGGCTTGCTGGCTCTTTCCCAGGTTGGAGATCTCCAGCCGTTCCTTTCTGGAAGCCATGCCAGCTTCCTCATTGTCCTCCTCTGAACTTCCTCAGCTCTGCTGTCTCTTTTCCGACCAGAAGGAGCAGCCCCACATGTGGAATTCAAGGCAGGGTGACCCAGGGGTTTCCACAGCAGGACAACGGCGTTCCTGGTTTGGCTCCTCACACTTTCCTTGTAATTCCTGACATGCAACTTGCTTTGTTTGTAAGTGTGACTGGGCACTGAGCTGAAGCAGCTGTTACTGCTCCACAATCTCACATGCGGTCAACTGTGATCCTAACTGAATCATTTTGTAGGTGAAACTTCCATCCCACCCTTCGCCCAGACTGCATTACTTTACATATTTCTGCACTGAATTTCACCAGCCATTTCACTGCCCACTCAGTCTTCCATACCTCTTCTGAGATGCTCCATAATTGCTCCTCTCTTTCCTCACAATGCTTCACTACTCGCCCCTTTTCCAAAGCCATTTATTAATAGATGAACAGCTCCAGCCAGGCTGTGCTAGTGACTACCCTCCATTGCAGGAGCTGACCCCTTCCCTCCTTGCTCACTCCAACAAAAAGATGCTCTCTCTCATGCTCAAACCACTCGATCTGCCTTGATTTCCAAGCCACACTCAAATAGCCTTGCACATGGCATCCAGCAATAGCACCACTAGGCAGCAGGGCCGTGGAAGCAGATGATGGGCATTTTCTCACACAGGGCTCCTGGACACTCGCAGCAGCACGTGCCAGGAGCCCACACTCAGCCATTCAGTGGCGACCAGCCTACCGTGCGCTTTTGGTATCTAACACCCACCGAAACCAGTCTAGAACACAGCATCACCTCCCTCAGGGAGCAGACAGACATCCCACAGTGCCCGTCCATCCTCTTCACAGAGTCCTCTTGTTCAAGTGTGATTCCCACTGCTATTAAAATACTCCACAAGATTAGCTGGAAGCACACAGCAGAGCCAGCTCAGAGGCATCACTTAATGAGAACCCACAAATGCTTTTCTCCTGGTACGCAGCATGGGTTCCTGATACAAAGACAGATCAGCCCTGTTCAGCTCTTCTTTTCACAACCATGCAGATAGTTGTGGGTAGATCCCCAGGGAGTGCAGGAGCAAGGCCAAGGTCTGCTGCTGTCTTGAGGAAAAGCATCATGAACAGCAGCAGGACCCTGCCAGACCACCACCTCCATAGAAAACTGCAGCTAATGCACAACCCTCAATGCTTGCTTATGTATGGCACTGAGGAATCACAGAAGGATTTATTGAAGCAGAAAGTGAAAGAATGCAGAACTCTCATCCACTGAAACACGATGAGCCCAGGACCATTTAAAATTGCCAAGGTCTTTGGGCAGAATTGGCCCTACAGTAACCGTGCCAACATGCTGATTGCACCTCTGGCAGTCCACTGCTGTTCATGAGGAAAACGTGCACCCGTTGGCCCGAGCAATCCCAGTGCTGCTACTGCAGAACCTTATGACATCAATGCCCATATCTGCTATCTGGAAAACATCAAGAGGATGTTATGCACTGTGGTACTAAAATACAATGGGGAAACAGATGATTATTGAGGCATGGGGAGAAATGGCTCTATCCTTCACTGTACAAAGTTCTGAGCACACTAAACCAAAAAACTGCTTCTAAAACCACTTTCATTTGGCTTGTGGTAAGAATAGGCTCCAAGGGAGGTGCTGCAAATGTCATGTCACTTTAGCAGCTGAGTGACAATGCTGTGATTTCCCTTGAGCAGCAAGGTCGTGCTCAAAGGTCATCAGAAGTCCTCATTTCAGACTACTCCCAAATACGGGAGCAAATGTAAACTACTTCACAGGAGACCACCAAAGATCCCATGGCACGACACTACCACAAATACCTGATCAGACATACTGCAAGTCCTTAGGCTATGTCTACGTGTGTTGCTGAGAGACTGGCTCCTGCTTTGCTAACTTCACGTTTCATGGTACTCTCATGGTTTCATGGTAATTTCTCTCTTCACCATCACTGCCTGCATTGACAAGTTGGGCCAGGATGCACACTGTAGTGGTGCAAGCTACAATGTCTGTCAAAGCCACTAAAGTGGAGAACAAATTGGATTGTAACAGGATCTTTACCAAGAGAATAATGCCATCAGGGTAGCCAGGCAGCTTTCAAGATGCAAATACAGATTTCTTTCTCAAGTGAAAGTCAGACCCTCATCTCTCCCTACTGCAAACAGCATTGCTGCAGCTAAACCACCAAACTAACTGCTGAATAAAGCTAGCACAGCACAAAGCTAGCAAGAGTGCGTGAGCTGGTGAAAAGGAAAAAGGCCATCACGAAACACACTCAAGAAAGGCTCTAATAAATAATAAAGCTCTAATACTTGGGAAGCCACAATGGGCCATGCCTCTTTACAGCACTGCCTCACAACCTCCCCCTACGCCACCAAGGTTTCCAGCACATCTTCAGGTTGATTTTATATTTCTACCAGTAATGCTGGCATAGAATGGTTATAGTTATTCTGGTTACAGTCTCTTCACTTACACTCTTCCTCTTTTCCCCTTCATGATAGTTGGACAACCTGACCACTATAATGGATAATACTGCAGGTTGTGACTGACCACAGCTGTTTCACAGAAAGCTGACTTTATCTCAACACAAAGGAGACGGGATAGCGGCCCTTGTTTTAAATAAACAGCTATGCCAGGTGAGTGGATACACTGGTGCTGTAAATGTTTCTCCCTCAGTTCATCAAAAAAGTGTGACTGTCTTCCTGAGTTAGCAGACCAGCATGGGAGGGAGCGCATACATAGCTTGGCCCAACACGGAGTATAAAAACTGAACCACTAACAAAAGAATTTTGAAGAGAGCAATGGGCTTGAGCTGGTTTCAACCCACGTATTCCTTCGCAGTGACTGGGGACGCCCAGCATCATGATGGTGGGCATACTACAGAGACCGGCAACAGGGATCACGCTTGTATTGTGATTGAACTGTATAACTGCTGTATTTTGCTAAGTGTAACTTACACTTGTATTATGATTTCAGTATATTGCTGTACCATTCTGCTAAATCAAAAATCCTGTTCAACTTCAAATGTCTTCAAAGAAGTAATCTTTGATATTAAATTATATACCCTCCATGTGTGGAATGTTTAAAAGAACCTGGTCAGAGAATATTAGACTCTAACCTCCACCCACCCACACTCTGTGTTACCGACAGCTGAACTGGCTCCCCTTCAATTACCATTAGCACTGTATTTAACTGAATGAAAATTAAGAAACCATCTCCAAGAGCTTGAAAGATTTGGTAGAGACCCAGACAAACATCTCCACAGACTTGCATTTGTCCTTTAGGAGCACATTTAGTTGTTAGACATTCATAACTATGCAAAAAGACTACTGTTTTTAATAATAAAGTCCACACATTGCAATTCGTTAAAAGAATATTAAAGTCATTGTTTATAAATTTATTTTTAGTCCAGAGAGGCTCAGATTAACATGTTTGAGAAAAAGAAATGCTCTGTCTCAGAAGTTAACATCTGATGGACTTATGTACAAATTTCTGAAACACATGGTTAACATAAGCAAAAAGCTTTTCCCAAACATAAAGTGCACCTTTTAGAACAGCTTCAAAACAAACCCAAGCAACAATAAGAAAACGACATTATTCTGAACAAGTAAATACTTGATTTCATGTAGATAAGGGAGATATATGCCTTCACTCTATGATGTTAGTTATTGAAGCATAATAAAAATTTCTTTCAAAGAGGTCACAATACCTTCCAATAGCAGTTACATGGTACACCTGTAGATATGAAACACCATTAAAGACATGAACAGCAGAGGCTGCACAGCATCCCCGTTAAACACATAAGCACAAGTTCATAAGAAAGCACTAGAATACAAAACAATTTCTGGTTACTTTATCAAATTAAATCTGAATAAGTAGTTTATACTCATTCTCTTTACTTCTGCCTAATAGCTCTCAGTTGCCACAATAAAGAGGGCAAAGAAAGTGTAATCAGATATGAAAAGAGGTATGAAGTTCTCTCTTATAATGACTTCCCACTGTGTCAGTTTCAGAAAGCAACCTAGATACCAAAGCTTGACTGCCAAAAATCAATTGCTGAACTATTCTTTCTTTTTTTTTTTTTCATATGTTATAAAAATCTAAAACTCTGTCCAATTTCTCAGCATTACAGAATCTTTTGCTTGCTATTTTTAGTTTTGACGGTGAGCTTTTTCAAACGTTTGCATTTTATTTAATGAAAGCAGCCTTCAAAAAGAATATTTGAGACCTGAGTAAAAGCTGAGAGGAAAAAAAATCTTCCCCATTTACTTTTTCAACTGGACAGTCATTTAGCAACACTCACGTTAGTATCACCAATAAGGGAAACTGTAGGAACCCTTATAATTCTACACAGGAGAAAAAAACAAAACAACACAACAAAAAACACAGGAACAGCCATCACAAAGCCACAAACAGGGAAAGGATGCAACAATGGAGGAATTCCTGAAGGGGTCTTCCTAGTACAGTGTAATGCAGATACAAGGTGCACTTGGTTGCAAGAAGGAGCAGAGCCACGTGCAGCATCCTTCTGGGACTAATTAGCCATGCTAAGAATTGTCCACGTGTTTTGACTCACATTCAGGTACCAGCTCTGCTTTCTTGCAAGTGCTCAAAGAATGGAAGTTTTGGGTAGTTTTTGTAGTTCAATGTAGCAGTAAAAACATAACATTCAATGTATCAAAAATACACTATAAAAAACAATAAAAGGCTGTGTGTCACTGAAATTCATTGTTACTGCAATGAAAATTGCATGGTCACTTTTATAGCAAGAGAACTGCATCTTCGTCAACTTTTTGAATTCCAGAAAAGTAATCTTTGGTTATTAAAAAGAACTCTCATTTCCTTGCCTCCAAATTTTTTTGTTAAATGTTTTATTGTTCTTGAAGTTGCCATCTATAGCTATTTCAAAGTGCTATTATCTCACTGTATTTCAAAAAGCATACTTACTCCTCTCTTCCTCAGGTACTGCAAAGAATTGAGCTGCAGTTTTTCTACTAGTTCATGCAGCATTACTATTTCCTTAAGAAAGGATCAGTATCAGGAAAAGCAGTAATGTGTCTTCAGTACTTTTTGTAATTACAGTGAATTTCAATTTTTAAAGTTTCTCTTGCTACAAAGCGTCAATACATTCAAAATAAATGATGATTAAATTTTTTCAGGCCACTTGTTACAGGCTATTTGTTACTTTTTGAAAAGTCCATTTTGAATATGCACTTAGTCTAAGTGTTTACATTAAAACAAACTGTACATATGCTGTATTGTAAAATGCATTGCTGCATTGTTCTGTAAATTTCTACAGTCCATTAAACTGGCTTTTAAATACGTTGATACTCAGGGCTACACATCTTCTGAAGAACGAGACTGAATAGTGCAAAAGGAAATGAATTACTTATCAAAAGAAAGCCTTTGCTTGCAGCTGGATTCTGAAGCTGCTCTGCATTCATCCTCTCTCATATTATTCCAGCTTTTTTTCATTGGAGTTAGATGAGGGGCAACCACATCACCATCCTAGCATTAAAAGTCAGAAAACATTAACAGTAGTACATCCTCTTTTGCTTTCTATCCTAAGCAAGGGGAAAGAGGCTCAATGTCAGACTTAAGAGAAACAATAAATCCAAGGTCCTAGAAGCATTCTATATCAATGATTATTGAAGGTCGTGCTTCCCAGAAAGGGGAACTGCTGCAGTCAGTGGTAATATCTGGTGAGGAAAACTTTCCATCCCATATCTGAGAAGCTTTCACCACAGTTCACTTTTTCCTAAATTATTACCAGCAAATACAAGAAAAACCGTAGGCTTGTATATTGGGCATAGGCACACAAGCTGGAAACATTAACATAAGCTTTTGTTCTGAAATTTCCATAGTGTCTCATTCAAGTCTGATGCAGTCTGCTAGAGGTAGGTGCTCAGACGTGCCTTTCACAGTTTTAAGGTATATAACATTGGTAGAGTAAGTGGTATGGTCTAGTCAGTGGTGCTCATCATTCTCAGATACATAGGTTAATCTAGCGTTCAGACACGGCAAACTTGGAAAAGAGGCCAAGTAGAAACAAGCTGATGGGACTGCCCTGGCAGGCTGCATGTATCTTGCAGACTGTGGGACATCTATCCCTGAACTAGTAGACTGTGGTTGTAGAACAGAACCACTATGACATATGGATGCTACAAGCAGAGAAAGCCTATTACTTGATCTATTTGTAAAAAGCCCTTCTGGAATTAACTGCTCTCAAAAGACAGTCACTAGAACAATTATTATGTAAGAAGAAGCCTTAAAACAGGCTGTAGGCTCACACCTACAGTCATAGGCCCAGCAAATGAGAACACTAATCTACTGACTGGATTTTCACTTCAGAGGGTGGAGCTCTTTCTCTGAATGAGACTTGCAGGCGTCTCTGGAAAATAAGATGCAAAGTCAGGGACATTAAGGTACTGAGTGGAAAGGAAACATACATGGTTCACAGAACAAACTGTTCACATGGCATTTGTCAAGCAACTTGAAGACTTAAATACAAACTTTTTTTCTTATTACATGAAGGCTCCCAGCTTTCTGCAAGGGGGCCAAGATGGGGATGTGGTATCACACATCAACAGTTAACAACCATGATTGTTACACAGGCTTCTTCACTACTTTTGGCAGGAGAAATGCAAAGCAAGATGTATGGACTGTAAGCTTTCAGTTTTGCTGCCAAGCTAGCTCTCACACTGTGCAAAACAAAAAATTTCATATCATGCCGTCCTCCTCACAGCTAGTAACTTGTATGTTCTGAGATTTGACTGGAAGGGGAAACAAAGAGAACAGACAAGGCCTTCCCAAACGCTCTGGTTTTACTGATTAGTTGCCCAGAGAACAGAGGCTTGCCATCTTTTTTTCCAGAGATTCTGCACTCTTAACGCGGGCCCAATAGGCTGCCAATGCATCTCTTGGGGGAACAGGGAATTTGACAGCTGGTGAACATGGAAGGAAAAGTAGTAAAGCAACAGGAAGAACTCATCTGACCTCTTCCTTAGGTGTTTTAATCTCTGTGGTATTTTAACCCTTTGCATGAAGAAACTTGCATCAATGAACTAGTGAGTGTCTATGTGGACGCTAATGCTGTTATAAAACATGACTTTCCAAATCATTTAAGTTAAATCAATACAAATCAAATCACTGTTCCACTGAAATCAAAGCACGCCTAGATGCGAGCCACAATAAAACCAGAAGATATGTTATTCAGAAGCAGCTCTGCCATGAAGACAAGGCCTGAATCCCAACCCTTTTAATGGAATAACAAGTTTACGGACCAAGGCGAAAAGCTCTAAGAACAAGAAAACAACATGAATTTGTTACCTGTGGTTTAGTGAAATCCTTTCTTATACACCACTGAATAAAATACTGTTTTGCAGCTGAAACAGTATCTGGATCCTGATTTTTGCAATAAACCCGAATAACCTGCTCCGCAAAAGTCTCAGGTAAAAGCTTCGAAACCTGTGCAATAAAAAAAAAAAAAAAAAAAACGCTTTAGTCTTTTCTTGGAATAGAGTCCACTGAACTTCAACTAGCTTCGAAACCTGGGGAAAAAAAAAAAAAAAAAAAAAAAACGCTTTAGTCTTTTCTTGGAATAGAGTCCACTGAACTTCAACTTCTTCATCAACTTCAGTGCTTCATAAATTGAAAGCACTAAGAAATATCCCGCTCTAAGGCATGAGCTTTACCCAAACGAATTATGTTTTTATAAGACTTCAATCCATACAAGTTAAACACTGTTCATATGTAACACCCATCACATCTCCAAATGGCTGCAGTACTACCACAAGAACTACCACAAAGAAAGGTAATCGCTTCCATCGCAAACTGTAAAGACGCTGCCCTTCAGAAGCCAATTGAGGAAAATAAAGACTACCTGTTCTTTACTGATCTTGACCGCCTTGGTAGGATCAGCTTTGCAATAGAAGAGAACATTATCAATAGGGTTCTGTTCTTTCATTCCATAGTCCATATTGATAACCTTGCATGCAAAACAAATAAAATGGCGTTTGTTGACGTTTGTCCTTAGTTTTGTTACAATAAATATACAAGGATATGCATTCTATTTCTGTAAATGACAGTAACCAAGTAAAATTGTAATTAACAAATGTCTCCTCAGTAAAATAATCTGATATTTGTATTTTTAAATCTTTTTCTCCCACCACATTTCTTCCTGAAACTGCCAAGTGGACATGTGCGTTTGCACTAACTAGCTCCCAGTTGCAGTCTGAAACACACTGATTTCAAACCATGGGAACATGCTGTTCCCTGGCCAGCTTAAGTCTTTCTGAACCCCACTATATATTGAGGCAGCAGTAGCGCTTAAAACTTTAAACACGAGGTGGTAAGACAACATAACTGACACCCACTTGGTAACCAGCAGTTTTGCGGTCAGCAGGGAGAGGAGCCCACTTCCCCATGGCTTCAGTTTACGTGAGACACGGAAAGCCCAGCTACCTACTTTAAAGCTATGTGAACTGCTATAATTTCACCCAGCCCGAAGTGAATCTTTGATATAAGAGCGCTTTAGAAGTGATGTGTGAGGTACTCTATAGAAAGCCATTCATTAACTCTTCCTAGAATTAATTCAGAAAAGGGGTTAAGCTATTAGATACCTGCACAATGCTCAAACCCTCTCCTCTGTTACGGGCTCCTTCCCACCACTGCTGGGGAGATACTGAGCTGGGGCACAAAGATGCTTTAAGCACAAGACAAACACTTGGGAATAACTGCCAATAGGTTTGTGCATCAGGTATAAACACCAGAAGTCTGGAAGTCACTGTGCCCATTTTCTTACCACTCAGGCCCACAGTTTACTGGCCTTCAGAAACATGCTCACAGCAGTGGTTCCTAGATTGTGGCCTTTAACATCTGTATGCTAAAAAACAAAGGTTTTCCCCTTCCTTTTCAGGGTGAGGACAGTCATAGGAGAACACATTCTGCACAGTCACTGGGAGCATAGATCGTCCAAGGACAATCTCTTACGAAGCTGTCTGAAGCCTTTGACCAGTGCAGGGCAATGTATACCCTAGCAAGAGCCACGTCACCAGGCCTCTGTATTTGCCCGTAACAGCAAAACACTCCAAAGGGGAAGGGAAGCTCATTGCTCTCAAAGCCTTGAACTTTGAACTTTTTAACATAAACGCTGCTACAACTGTTCAAGTTACAAGGCAACTTTTTTTTTTTTTTTTTTTAAAAGCTTTGAAAATGAAACAGTTCAGATTTTCAGTGTGGCATACAAGGACTGAGTAATTTTTACTCTAAGCTCGCCCTGAAAGGAGAGATGTTTACATCAACTATGAAATCTTCAGCCTTTGGCTCCACCGATGGAGGATTCTTTTCAGGCTTGGAACTAGCAATTTCTTCTGACAGATCACTGTACTCATTCTGAAAAGAGACAACAACTCAAATTATATTTATGCACCATCAGGTCCGGACCTAGGCAACAAAACACGGCTCTCAGCCAAAGTTTTCATTTCTTCATAGCTCAGCAGACTTTTCTTTAAGTAATTTGACTGTTTTAATCCTTTTATACTTTAGATGGCCATAAGTTTTCTCCCAGTTTTTAAAAACTAAACAAAACAAGGTCATATCATTGAAAAAATCCTAATACTGTTAGCCTTTGGAGAAAGAGTTCTATGCCTGATGATAGGAAGAAAGGAGTGAGAGGAAGTCTGCCTTACTGTCCAGGATGTGGATGTCTACAAAAAGCAGAGAAAAGTGCCTTCAAACAACATTTACTAACACAAACATGTTTTGCAACCAAGTTCCCCACAGCTTAATACTAAATATTTTTATTGAACTTTTTTTTTTTTTTTAAACTAAGGGCTGCAGAGTTTCATCCTATAACAAAACATAGAGTAAACAAACCTAAACATTGAAACATAAAAGAGCAAATGAGACAAATAAGATGAGTAATATCATACAATAAAAAAAGAGAAAAAAATCTAACTCCTAGACAAGCTTTGTCCCACCTCAGGAGAAGAAATTGGAAACCCACAGGGAGTTCATTTGTTTCTGGACCTAAGAGAATATTCCCTCCTTACGGCTAGGCTAATCCAACACATAGGAACAAAGTGTGATGCAAAGTAGTTGCTTATGATAATATATAAGGTGTCTTTAAAAGGCTATGGCTGGGTAGGAGAGAGAAGATTGTCTATTTACCTTTGTCCAGGGCTGCTACATTCTAGGTAAGATGAAATTTGCTCAAGGAAGATTTCCTGGGAGCAACTAAGACTCAAAGGAAAAAAGGTTTGAGCGCAGCACAGAGCAGCCAGAAGAGTGATCCAGAAGGGAGAGCATTCAACAAGCAGCAAATATGTCCATAGCACAGACAGGGAGACTGCTGAAAAGAGCAGGGAATCTCACACATCGCAAGGCTGAGGTGTATGTGCAGTTTGTCCTAACTCAAGAAGCCAAGGAAAATTTTAGACTCAGAGCAAACCTAGAGGAAAGAATTGCCAGGAGGCAGCTGCCAGGACACCATTCGTAGGAGGCAGCCTATTTATAAGCTCTTTTATTGTATTCTATATTATGAACGCTCTCCATTTTATTGTTTGTTTGCTTAAGTTACCTATTCTAGTTCACGTTGCCTAGAAACTTTGATTCGAGCTTAAAAACTTTTTAGCTATTTGGGATGCTCACTGTAAGCTCTGGTCAGTTTGGGGATCACTAAACATAAGGACTTTGCAGTCTCTTAAACAGCAGAACAGACACAGCTATATCCTGTCTAGTCATTGCCCATCTCTAGAGCTTCAGAGGAAGTCAAGCCTCCACCACTCCTACAACAGACAACTCAGGCACTCAGAGGAGAAAGAATCTCCTTCCCTCCCCTCCTCACCTGACCATCAGAAGCTGCAAAACATTGGATGGATATAATTACTACAGCACCAGCAGTGATCCAATCTCCTTTCAAGACAACACACTGGATACCCAAATATTCAGCTTCTTAGGCTGGATTTTTCAAGTGAAAGTTTTCCTTTTCATTAATTAAGCTTCTAAAAGAAACCACTTGAAGGTAAAGGTGGGACTTAGGCAGTTTATATTCCTGCCCATTTCCTAATTTGGCAGACTGTCCTCAGAAGGACAGAAACTTTGCAATCAATGTTTAGCCATTTCATGTTATGCTGACATTTGTCTGAAGATTTTTTTCCTTCTTCCTCAATATTTACTCCCTTTTTAATACAGGAAAAGTTATATTATCTCTTAACACTCCTTTGGCTAAGACAAAGGCAAGCCAACCCTCTCTTCAAAAGCTAAGATGAACAGAGAAATAAAAGTATCTAATAGTCCTTTTCTAGCCTTATTTTTTTTAAGCTGAATTATTTTTATTAAAACCTTCCAGATATGTTCAGCCACTTGTGGAAATTCTGCATGGAAAATTTCAGCATCACAGCTGAAGTTTACAGGCTGTTAATTTTGATTTCGTAACACAATATAGCACACTGCAAGGCAAGCTGAACCATCAAAAGTAACATCAGCTCTAATATAACATTCTGAAATAAGACATTAGAAAGACAACAACAGCAGTTAAACCGATTTCGGATGAGTACTTTGAAAGATAAACATTGAAAAAAAGATATATATGCATGTTCACGTCAACTACAGAATTTAACACCAAGAAATTCAGAAATTATTATTTATGATTTGAAACAAAAATGTCAAATGTTCCTTGTTCTGTTGAAAATGTAATGAACATAAGACAGTAATAGTCTTCTCAATTACTGGACTATAACAACATTTTATTTGTACTTTTTTGGTTTTTTTGAGAAAACAGAATTTTTCTGGAAATATGTCTGCAGCAATCTTATTTCTGAATTTCCATCTCTTGCCATTCTTCTGCCTGTTTGCATAAAAAATTCTTTCCGGTTTTCTTAAACATATTCAATGGCTTGTCTACCTAAAGACAGTGAGAGCGCTTTTGACAATTTTTGGAGTAGCAGTTAAGTTTAAAAAAAAAAAAAAAAAGAGAGAGAAAGAGAGACAGAGAGACAGAAAGAGAGAATATTCTTAAAGGAATAAAACTCTCAGTCTTCCAGCCATGGAGATTACCTTTGCAATTTCCTTCACTTTCTCAGGCTGAGTCTCTCCTAAAAACTTGTATAATTCACGTCGCTCTATTTTACGCAAAATTTCTCGTGCCTTAGCCAGTTCTGGACAACTTGAGTGCAGAATCTCCAAGTAGATGTTATCTGCCAAAGTTGCATTGATTTGCGTTAAACATGACAAATTCCAGCATCACAGCAAACAAAGCAAAAATGCATGTAGAGGGACAAAGGTTAAATAAACAAGAAAAACAGCTGGTTCAGGAAGATTAGCCACTTTCAGAGAATGACCCAACATGCTAGTCTGACAACTGAGAAGTCACTTACAATATACTCTTGGTTGTCAAGGATTTATAACAGTTTTTGATTGAAAAACTAACTCAGTTCTCACAAGTTTAATTATTTCACCGAAGGTTACTTTCTGCTCTCATTTAGCCAATCCCTGTTCAGCAGAACTTCCCCAGCACTAATAGGCTCAGGGACAAGGGTGCAACGTTTTACAAACAAATAAAATACTTCTGTTAAACTTCAAGAATTTCTCAAGCTTTGGATGCTGGAATCAAAGTCCCCCATTCTGTTCCCACACGACAGTGACAGGCAGTGTGGTTCCTGCAACAACATGAGCAGCAAGAGACAGATTTCTTTTGATGTGGCTTCAGTGCACAAAGTTATTTTTGGCTGTCCTAAAGAAACCGCTGCTGTCAGGATTTTGTTCACATGTCACACAACCAACACAGGTGCGCTCTTTGTGTATATTTACATTCTTCTAGCCAGAATGATCTGTGCAACTTTGCCAGGCACAGCGAGCATAGTTCTACAGCATGCAGCCTGGGATAGCAAAGTTGGCTTAAGAAGCTGCCAACGCACTGCATAAGCACTCCTGTGATCCAGGTTTACCAAAACACCTTTACTGAGGATTACTTCCATGGACAACAAGGCTGATCAAAGTATGGAATTACTTCACAAGAAACAAAAAACTAGGAATCTTCAGACTGAAAGAGAGAACCCAGGGAAAATAAGAAGCCTATGAACTGACACATTGTGCAAAGGCAATAACAATGTCTTATCTATTACTAAAACTGTTGAATCAAGGGACTGCAGATTCTAAAACTAGAGGTAGTTTTTCATCCAACACGGAGGAAAGCTGGGGAAATCACTGCTGAGGAACCTCACAGAAGTTTATTGTTTACACAGGTCCAAAAGGCAGTTGGGCTGTTTCACAGAAAGATCATTCACCATGGACCATTAAACACAAGTCTGCTGTCCTCTCAGAAGTCCTCAGGTTGCAGTTACTGGCAGCAGGGAAGGAAATATCTGTTTAAGAACAGGAGAACATATTCATCCCTCATGGTCCACGGTTATATCTGAAGTTGGGATACTCCTCTCAACATTCAGTTTAACTGTTGCAGACCGCAAGAGGCATGTGGCAGGCGACAGCCCTGGTCTCTTTGTCCTGAGCAGTGTTCCCAGCCAGCCACTGGAGGCCAGCGGGCAGTTACAGCAGGGCCCTGGCATTAACTTGCCCAGCACAGCTGCTTTTGCAGAGCAGAAAGCAAACAGCCCAAAGAGAACTAGATCACAGCTCACAAAGAACTTGGCCTTAGCTCTTGCCTTTCTGCCCGCATTCCCACGGCCCAACGCTACAGTTGATGCTCCTCAAAAGCTATTCCCACTCAAAGCCAGACACTTCTCTTCCCCAGAAGCAGGCTGCATTAGCGAAGGGTTCCACATCTCAGCACTCTGTGCAGCCTCTTCACCAACTCGACACAGCAGATCTGTGGTCAGGCTGCATGTGGCTGTTGCAGATGAGAAAGGATTGCAGATGGAAAGCCCTTAGTATGACATAGATTAAGGCACGCAGAGCCCTCCTGCAACATGCCCTCGGCCTCTGTTACCTTGTCCATAGGCCAAAGATAAAACTTCACGAGTGTCTCCGTTCCCAGCTAAGGCTTGATGATGGAAACTCAGGAAAGTTGTCTTGCTACTCATGAAAGATGCCTCGTGAGCTACAGCTACAAGGATTCCCAAGCTGCCAGCCCTTGAGGGCACCCTTCAGCAGGGTCTGCACCATCATCTGCCCTGCAGTCACCCCCACCAAAAACCCTTCAGCATAGCAGGGCTTGCCATGCCCACACTGGCCTCCATCCCCCATGGTGCATGAAGATGGTGAGGGGATGCCACAGCACTGAATAGAGGCATGCTGATGTGCTCCACAGCGAAGAGCAGGAGGGGGAGGCAAAACCAAAATGCCTTGTAGTGAGAAGCAGCTGAACTGCCCAACAGGGGAGACAACACAACTCATGTCGGTTATCATGAATTCAGTAATGTAAGTGTTTCCTGCTCACAAGGCTGACCCAGACCTCAAGATGTGGGTGCCAGCAGAGTCAGAGTATTCTTCCAGGAAGCCATCACGATTATCAGCTCTTGTTTGCTTCACTCTGGAATTATGTTGAAGCTTCCTGCATGCCTTTAAATAGGTTACTGCTCGGCAAACTTACCCTGCAAGAACAATTCTGATGAGCTCTTGGCAGAGCAAGCAGAAATTTTACGCAGTGAACTAAGCTGTTAGTAAAGTCTGTTTTCCTTCTGTTGCATTTGCTAGCAGGATAGCAGTGCCTTGAAACACCAATCAAGTCAGACTCTATCAGAGCCCTTAGAAACCTATTCAAGAGCTAGTTTCACATTACAAGCATACCGTACTCCTCCATCTGAAGTAGCTAGGCACAGTATCGCTCAGAGCTGACTTACATCCCACCTGTGACAAGTGCAACAAACTTAGGGCACAAGTATGACCTCCAGATAGCATTGCTCGCAATAATCTGGATTTGAATGCATGCAGAACATCCTAAACTGCTGCTTCTCTCTCCTTCTCTAGATGTACAAATAAAAACCATTTAAACTGGAAGGTTTTAGTGTCCTAGCAAGATATCAGAGCACAGAGATCTGATGGTCCAGATATGATTCTCCATCTGTTTTTAACAGCAGTACTTCAGAGTCCTAGTCATAGACGAGGAATCACACACCAACAGCAGTACAAACAAGAAAAAATATTCCCCATTCTAATGGGTACTCATGTTCTTTTATTTAAAACAAAAAAAATTACTGAGAGGTCATACCAGTTAGCTTAGTGTAGGCTTCCATATCCTCCATGGCGGTAGAAATACTGTAGAGTGTTCCTTCAGAGCCTTCTATTTTAAAAAACTGGTCTGCTTCTTGAAAGGCTTCTGTAATCCTATATTGAGACAAAATTAAGACTTAAAGAAAGCTTCATTTTGAAACACCTTATTGTTTAAGAGTCAGAAGAGAAATTATTCAGTACATTATAAATACAAGATAATAAATTAAACTGTACTTCAAGCACACAGCAAAACCCAAACACACTGCAATATTTCCTATTTCCATGCTGTCACTGCGTATTTCAACAAAGAGTCTTTCCATTTACTTAAAGTAAATTTGGATCAAGCCTTAACTTTATTTCAATGAATCAGGAAGTACACTTGGTCCTGCTTCAAACTGTAATCTTAATATTGCTTAGCTCATTGCAGAACCCTACAAGACAGCGACATGGTCAGTCAACTGCAATGAGACTATACCACAGATGACCATATCCTTGAACAGTCTAGTTGCTCCAGGAGTTAACTGAATGAACATAAAGCTGGTAAAGGTAAAGCATCATGAATGTGAAGTATTTCTTCAGATGCAAAGAAGTTCTTAAAAACTGACTAAAAACTGATTTTTAAAGATAAGCAAAAGTTCCAAAGTCCCCTGTGCCTCCTGCTGTCATTTTCAGTTTGTATTCTCATTTGGATAGACTGCTATAATCATGGTAAGCCAAGAACAAAATTTCTGTGATGTTTCACTCCTCACCCTTAGCTCCTACTAAACCTTCGGATTTTTAGCCTGAGTCTAACTGACTGCTTTTACAGATCACCAAACCATGAACCAAAGACTACAAAATGAAAGCAGTCATGAATGATTCCTGTACTGTGTGATCTTCTGCATTCCTTTTTTCAAAACTTAATAGATGGTTACTCAGCAGCCAAGATCTTCATGAAAAATTATTCGGGAATATTAGCATTTCTGCTTTTGAAGAAAAGTAAAGGGAATAATGCTATAGGGAAACCTCTATATATTTACAGACATCCACAAGAGAGGTGCAAATGCGGGCAGTCAACTGAGCTGGTCCTGACCAGTTTCTGTTGTGGCATTACATAGACACAAGAACACAGGTCTCAGCTGAGCTACAGTAAGTTCACTCATTGCTTTAGTTTACTGGCAATCTTGCTCTACTAAATAGTCAGTTTGAGCTGATAATCTTTATCTGCAAGTTAAACTTTTGTTGTCAGCAATTATAACAGCCTAAGCACATCCTCGTGAAACGTTTCTTCAGGGTTTTAGTAACTTGCCTCTAACCGATCGTCATGTGGAAGGACGTTGTTGCCCCCTTCTCTTTTATTATTCAAAGACTCCATAATACTCTAGCATTGAATGCTGTCATAATAAAAATCAGGCTGAATAGCCCAGTGGCTTTTATTACACATCATAGCTTATTGATTAGTTGAATACTCCAAATGTATACACAGTTTCAATAATTTAAAATAAATGGTTTGCAATAAAAAGAAAGCGTAATACTTGCATTATTTCAATGATGTTGCCAACCTTATGCTGGTACGCTCGACGGTGCAGGCAGTTCCGTGTGTGGAACATATCATACAAATTTCCAACTTCCTGAATCAAAAAAAAAAAAACAATTATCTTTTACTTTTGATATGTTTCAGTTGGAAAACTAAAACAATCAAGGAATCAAATGAACTGACTCCTTCCATTTGCAGCATTTAGGAGAACAGTTTGGGGTTTTTTTCTGTGTTTTTTTTTGTTTGTTTGTTTCTTTTAAACAATTGACCAATTTTGAAATAAATTCAAATTATGGGAGGGCAGACACCTGCCAGGGAATCCAAACAGTCTGGGCATACAAGATGAGGAGAGAACAATATCTCGTGCTCCTGTAACAGCACCTCTCCAAAGCCACATTCACCTAGCGTTCAGAAGATCTTGAGCGGGATAACACATACCTGACAATTTTGTAGTCTCTTCCTTGGAAGCACTCGCCACAAGCCCTGCAAACTCAAGCTTGTTCTGTTCCTCCTTTCCTTAAGCCAGTTACTTTCAACACCAGCTCACAGAGCAGCAGCAACTTCTCTCTCTCCCTTACTACAAAGTGTCTAGCAGGCAACTCCCTTCATTCCCCCATGCAATCCACAGCTATACCGCACTACACGAGACAGGCTTCATGCATCACTTTTTTCAGTATGCTGCTACGCCTGGTACGCCTTTTATTGCTGAGTGTTTCCTCAACACACACATGCTGCTTACCTTGTCACGAGTGCAGATATGTTTCTGGTTTTTTACTTCACAGACCCGAGTGAATTTAAGTAATCGCTTATAATCAAAATTATTCTGGATTCCTAGGTGATGGCAATCCCTAAAAATATTCCACAGAGAGTGTTTAACAATGAGATCATACTTACTTGTAAATGTAGTAGCATTGTTTCAGTAGGAATTTAATAAAAATAGAAACCACAAAATTTGTACCTTGCAAAATAATCCCATTTGTCAACATCAATGCCATTTTTTTTGTTAGCTACTATCTCATAAAGGAAACTCTTCTCTTTTTGTCGACCAATGTAGGGCCACTAATAACAGGGGAGCCAAGAAAAAAAATCAGAAATAATAATGAATTAAAACGTGTAAACAACATCAGAACAATTTTTTTTTTATAGATAGTAGGAATACATTTTGATTTTGCCCGTGATAAACATCCAACACTGAGTTATCAAAGAACATAAAGATAATAAAAGAGCTTTTGAAGCTAAGTTGGGTGTTAGAAATCCAGAACTAGGGCTTAAGCAGCTGACTTCCTAGAATTTCAGAAAAAATAAAAGAACAAGTATTTCATTTCCCATTCTACTAAAGTGAGGTAGATTTTAAAAGGGAGAAGCCAATGGGTAGCAATTAAGAAGGGGAAAGTTTTGACTTTTTTTTTTTTTTTTTTTTAAACATCTCAGGGAATTATTTAAACCTCCAAACATGTCACTGTCTTGCAGTATTCTGCAATCAACTGTAGAACTTTCTAGAACATATATAAATAATTATTTTAAAACTATTTTAAATAAAGATTGCTTAAACAGCCAACTACTTAAAACTCCTAACCCACAGCTGAAGAGCAATTCAGTCATGAGCCAAACAGGAAATCAATGCTAAAATTGTTGTAAAACATAAGGTGCACATAGCCATTACCCTCTTGCAAACATAAGCACTCTTTAATTATACAAACTTTGCCACAAAGTAGCTTTGAAATTCTGGAAATTTCTCTTCTAAAGAATAGCCTGCACCAATAATACAGGACTCTATTACTGCACAATGCCACCATTCCGAGTAATAAAATTGAAGAATGAGTTCCTTACATCAAGACCAAAAGGCCTGCAACCTGATAACATCACAGCATTGACAACTCAGCGGCAGTAAAGCCTGTACTCTGAAAAGACCACAGCACAAAGGATTGTCAGCAAAAGACCCTGCATCCTAACACCAAGGGGATGGCAAGAAGGTTGCCACATACCATGTATACCATTCCTTTTCCTATTATCCCACCAGAAAACAGGCATATAGTTCAAACAAGGAAAAAAAGACAATGAGTAACAATCTGGTCTAAGATCTATGGAAGCAGCAACTTTCTGAGGCAAAAGACCACCGCATAATACATGATGACTCAAAGGGTATAAAAAAATCTGTCCAAAAGCTAGTTTGTTGTCACCAGTCAAGAACCACCCCAGAGACAAGGAAGACGCAACAGCCAGTACCCAGGCTACTTGGATGCATGTGTCTTGGTGTTTGTCAGTAGTTGAGCGTGATGGTTGTGAGTGAATGAAATCTGAGAGCAGAGGAGTGTAAGACAGTAAAATCAACTTAGACTTTGTAAATAAATATCCTCTTCCATAAGATTTCAAACCGAATATTATTATGCTAAATTCCCTATGTTCTGTCATCAGAGACCTCCAGGACACACAGGAGCACTACACATTACTACAGCAGAAAATAATGGGTAAGTGCTAACACTTGCCGGTGATTTGTTTGGGACAACATGCAAGTTCTGATTAGGACCAGATTGTCATGTCAGGTCTCCCACTGATGAGTTCTTTAATCTGGTAGGAACTGAATGGCTGTTCTTAAAGAGATGGCAACAGCTGTAAAGTGTAAAGTCAGAAGAGAGGACTTAATTGTTAATCCTCTATGAAAGAATTATGATCTCTTCTTCATCGCCTCTTGAGGCAACACATTTCTTCAACTCTTATCCTTCCTCTGTGCTACTGCAATAAATCCAAACGTTCTGTTACCGTCTTCAAAGCCAATGTGGCTCTGGCCCCGCTCATGCCCTCGGGCCATGCTTTGCATTGCTCCCTGCCTCATTTCTGCCAGTTCTCAGTCTTGTTACTCATTATCAGCTTGTTACTCTAAACTACCTCCATGTTTTCTTCATGTGGCCACTTAATAACACGACCTCCTGTCAGCCTTACCTTTAGGGCCTCCAATAAACAGGATGGATTTATCCTCATCTGGTCATTTAAGACACCTATTAAAAATTCATTTCCATCAATCTAGTTACAGTAACTTAAGTTTACTACATACAAATAACGTTTTTTAACGACTGCTCTTAAGACTCTGAGGCAAGAGCTTCACAGGACGATGAGAGCGCATAACATAGAGAAGCTACCGCCTAAGGCCAGCACTCTAAGAAATAACACTACACTTCTCTAGTGTCTTTCCTGCCAGGATTCTCAAGATTGCCTGGAGATCCACAAAAAAGAGAAAATATAACAGAAGCAAAAATCATTTTGCCTTTCAGTAAGATTTAAGACATTTATAGGAATATCCACAGAAGCAGTATACTGACTCACCGATTTCTCACAAGTAGCTTCATCTATAGGCCCTCCTATTTGTTCCTTGATAAAGTTCATATCTTCTTCCACGACAAGACCGTACGATTCCATGACTTTTTCTAGTTTATTGGAAGTGATCAGGTGTTCAAACATTTTAACAGAAGCAGTTTCATGCTGTGAAAAAATATGTAAATGTTGCTTTACATAGTTTAAGCATCTTTTCTGAAGCATCACAGCTTTCTCCCAACAGAGTAACATTGCCTGGCATAGCACATGTGCCTGGTCATGTGAAAGTGAAGCATCCTCCCTTTAAAAATTTGAGTTTTCTCTTTTTATTTTAATAGTGAAATGCCTACCTTCCACCTCAAATCTGGACGAACAAGTGGAATAAATCTTCCATCAAACATGTGTGAAAATGGCCCATGACCTTAAAAATAAAGATTATATAGGTTTAATCTGAGACATACTCATCAGTAAAACTATTTGGAGCAAGCTAAGCACCTGCATTATCATGTAATTGGCTTCAATTTTGCATCGCCTTTTAGCAAGATTCAGCTATGGCAAGTACATTCACTAATGTAACATCCTCACTACTACTTCACTCAACATACCCAGTTCCATTACCTACACCACAAGCAAGAAGTCCAGTAACACTAGCTACATTAATTACTCTGGGATAGCTCTGAAAAAGATATGCAGTATTACAAAATAGTCATGAAAAATGTTGAAAGGGCCACTAACTTTCCATCTGAGATGTTACTGGAGGTTTTAAGAGAATTGAAGATACCACAGAAAGAAGAGGATACCTATCTGAGCCACAGAGGGAACAATTCAAAGAACCGTATTGAAAGGATATTAAAGAGTGGCTATCTGTCTGAAAGTTTACCAGGTGGACCTGCCTAAATAGACAGTTACTCCGGACTAAACAGGAATAGGTATACCCTGTTGCAGAATATGGCCATGCATTGAGCAGCCAGGAACAGCTCTTATGCTCTCACTTCATAGCCGTATTTTCAAAGAGAAACAAGCCCTCCCAAAGCATTGCTTACCCAAATCATGACAAAGCCCAGCAATCTCAACACAGAGGATGTCTCGTTGGGTTATGTCCAGTTCTGGTTGTCTTTCCTTCAGCGCACGAACCAGACATCCCGCTAGGTAGCCTACCCTGTGGTTGCAGCAAAAAACAGAAAGTGAAGATAATAGCATTCCAGGTTGAATAGAAAGAGAGCAGTTCACCAATTCTATTTTGCCACATCAAGTCACAGCTGAAAGGTAACACACAACAAATATTCAAACCTTGACTTACACAAGAATCATGGAAACAAATTACTTCCTGTAGTAGAGTCTTAGTAACATATTTGAAAATGAAAACTTAACAGGTTTCATGCCCAAAACATGGATACATTAACAACTGCATCCTAAACATGGTATTCCGACAACAATAGCTCTAAGAGGACACATTCTGTACTTCCTTCTCTTCCGTAAATCAAATACGTTGCTACCAGAGCTCTCTTTAACTTCCAATTTAAACCCTCTCAGGTTCTATAGGAGGAGGAAGCATCTTTTATTAGATCAAATTGTTCTGGTTTTTTTGGTTTTATTTTGTTTTTTTTTAACTAGACAATAAACACATAAAGCCCACTTCTACTTCAAACATGAAGAAATCTTTGAAATGATATACAAGTTAAGAACAACTGTTTTAAGTTTAACTATATAGATTAATTGAATTGTTTGAAAGAAAAATTTGCTGATACCAGTGGAGTTTTCAGACTCCTGTACTGATAGCTTTATTTATATCCCTCAGGTTTTTATGTTTCCAGGTTTATTAGATGCTGTTAATTTAAGCTTGCCTCACTGGTTTGACCCTTTGCAACAGTCATTTGCATCTTGTTAGCATTCTAGGGGACAGTAGCCAGACTTACTCCAAAATATTTCCATACTACAAAAGCAACTTTAGGCTGGCCAGATCACCTGAAAAAAAACATCGACTAGTTTAATTTCTCTGCACCTGGGGATATGCCTTTAAAAAAAGCTTAAACTGGTGATTACTCAGCTTCTCTGCAGATTGTGAACGATCTCAGTAATGATACCTTTTTAAAGCAAACCCCTGGAAATCCCAATGTCCACAATCTGTTTCCATTCAACTTATAATGGTAATATTACCATTAACAGTCTGACTAGTTGTCATCTATTGCATATAGCACACTTAAGCTGGGTAATATAAAGGTAATACAACTGTCTGACAAGTCATTTATGGCAACCTCAGTATCCCTCCCAACTCAGTATAGACCAGGAAGAACATAAAGTATTCAGTTTCCAATTAACATTCTTCTTCTCAAGAGGAGAAAGAAGAGGGGGAAAGAAAAGAAAAATCCAACAATGATCCATCTTGCAGATTTCTTCGTTTAGTTCTATCAAAAAAAGTCTAAGAAAACAGCTAACACCCACAATTATATAGGATACACAGGAACAGCCACAGAAAAGAAAATG